CCAAAAACAATGGAAAAGCCATAAAACATTTGACTACTTCAAAGCAGGCAACTCTTCAAAGCTGTTTCACTGCACAGAAAAGACCTCCAGCAATATTTAATGCCAAGTTAAAGAGCAGGACTCCTCAGCTCAGCATACACAATATCCTCTAAGAAAAGAGGAGATTTCTATTTTAAGCCACAGCTTTGCAGATAGTTTATATATTTTGTATTACAAACAGCCTTAGGAATGTTTGAGGTGCTTAATCAGGATCAGATGAGAGAAAAGCATCCCAGTGCTCACCACACAGACACGGGAATCCTCAGATGCACAAAGTAAAGTACTAGAACTGGCTAAAAAGAAGTAGTTAAATTCTTACTCAACACAAGCCAGCGAAAGGTAAGGGCTGTGGATCACATTCCTGATTTTCACTTTGGGATCTAAAATACTTTGTTTATCAAAGTCCTGAGCTTCAAGCTGAAAGTTTAAACAATGGTGCCTTCCCGTGACCTAAGTTGTAGTAATAAGACTCAACAGCACCACAGTAATCCTTCACTCTCAACAGACCAGAAATCTCTGGTTTGGATCCTTCAGAATCCCAAGAGAGACACTGGAAAACTGTGTAAAGAAAATAAATGTCTAATATGCAAACAGACTGTAATGCAAAGGGAGGAAAATGCCATCAATCATTTCCTACCTCCAACAGCCACATAAAACAACAAGCTGAGAGTGAGGTCAGACACCCAGACCAATCCTTTCGTGCATACAGTGCAAAGTACTGCTGACCAAGGTGGCAGCCACCTCAGCAGTGGAACAAGTATTCCTTTCTCCCCCAAGGACCTGACTGCTTGAGAATTGAGCTAAAACGAGCTAAAGAAAAAGTCTAGAACAGAAATGGGAGAGTTAATTTCCATGAACTTATATACTCAGAGATCCACTCAACTACCAGCTACCTCTTAATTGTCTCCACTGCACATCTGAGAGAATGGATTTATTACAGAACATAAAAAAATGGAGCATGACCAAAAAAAGAAAAATCAGCTTGAGGAGGCTGTAGCACTAATACAGGAAGAGAAACATCCTGCTCTGCAAAGAGAATACAAATTGCAAGCAGCCTCATGGACAGGCTGAGGTGAAAAAAAGGAAATGCTTAAAAAACAATCAAAGTTGGGGGGTGTTAGAAATACAGCCAGCCAGGAACATAAGCAAGGACACTGAAATGTGTACGATTGTCCTAAAGAGCAGGTAATTTACAGTGCTGATGGAAACACCACACCAAAAAGGGCCAGAATCATTCAGTGCTTTCCTGGATACAGAAAGACAGCAACCAGACTGAAGTAAAACTTGAAGGATTCCAGTAAAAGTAGAATTTGGAACCTAAAGACGAGAGATCAACAACTTAAAAAATAACAAAACCAAGGCAGATGTATCAAAGTCCAAAAGAAATGCATTCCAAAATGTTTAAGAATACTAAGCCTTCTAGCAAACCCCTTCTAATCTTCAATACTCTGAAGAGGCTTCAAAAGACTGCAAAGGAACACAGCACCTATATTTCCATGAGAACTGCAGTGCTGATGGACCTCAAAACCAGTCAGATTAGCATAACAACCTCATCCAACTTTAAGTAACTGTAGAATTTTTAGCCAGTGAAGAGGTGCTGAACACACAACACAAATTTGTCAAGAATAAGTCACACCAAGCCAAAACTTTTTAGGCAGACTAACTGGCTCAGATGACAAGCAGGCAGGTAAGATTTAAGCCTTAATGTTAGAGATTTGACACCTTGACATATCATTTCAAACATACCCAAACACTTTAACTGGTGCATGCACTACCACTACAAGGCAAAAAGTTACTCTTCATTCAGTATCAGACTAAAACAAAATTTCTAGTGGTATCCTGGCAGGACTAACAACACTGGCATTATTCAACAGTTTTACTAATGACTCTGAAGGCAGGAAAAAATCTGGAGAAGTTCTGCCAATCCTCAAGGAGAGCACTGAAAATCATCTTTATAAACTGAGTACCAGCGTAAATTGTTACAGAGTAAGTGACATATTAAGAGAATTCAGTTGGGGGGGCAGGGAATTCAATGCAGGAATATAAAATAATTATTCAGCCCTCACAGTGTGAGCCATCAGGGCAGGCAACATCTTAAACACTGCAGCTCTAATTCCCTAATACAACGACCACATAAAACTGCTTAGCTGAAATACAATGTATTCTTCATTTTTAAATGCAAAACTTTCAACTGCTTGATACAAAAGTTATAAAAATCACTGATGCCAGTTGTCCTAGGTTACCATGTAGGGTGTAACCAATAGTATGTATTCTATTATCATCTCCACAAGCTGTTAAAGCAGGTGGGGCAGTGATCATCTCCTACTCATCCCTGATGGCTCCCTCAGGGGCTGTCTCTGTTTAATGGGCTGTCAGGGACCCACATGACCCATAGAATTACATACTCCCATTGTGAGATGCTTCACCCCAAGGGGGGGAGCCAAGCATTCCCACATGGATGTAAGCTGGGGTTTGGACCAGCACAGAGCCCTTACCTACTGGATTCCCAGAGGACAAGAGCTACCACTGGACCTTCAGGTGAAGACCAGATCTACAGGATCCCTGTTCCAACAGACCCATCACTCCAGGAGGACTGCAGCCACCATTTAATCAGGCTACTACCAACACCCTGACTGACAGAGTGTCAGGTTGCTTTCTGACTCTGTCAGTGGTTTCTTTTTGTACTGTAGCATTTATTGTGTTTTCTTATTAAATTATATTTCTGACTTGGAGTGTCTCACTGGTTTGCTTTCAAACCAGCACACCAGTTGAAAGGGGTGCTACTCTCAAGATCTTTTCTAGTCTGATTTTCTTTTTTTCCTTGTGCTTTTGTGCTATGTGGGGTTTTGTTGGAACTTTTTGTTTGCATGTTGGTTTGTTTGTTTATCCACTGCACAGGACCCAATCAAGTGAGCAAATACGTATTTGTTATATTTTACCTCTTTACCAGGCTGGTATTTTATCAAAAGATTTAAGAGAAGCCAAGATATATATTTAGTCTGAAAAAGCTACAGAATTTAATACCTGCATCCCTACCCAGTCTGACCTATGGAATAATTCCTATGTTTGCACTGAACCAAGATGAACAAGCACTCTGCAGAAAGCACTGACTGTCACATAAGCTAGACAGCAGTATTTGCTCACTGAAGACAATGGGATTGCTTTTGCCTATCTCCCTCTAAATAATTATGTAATGTTTAGAAAGTGTTGAGCATTTGGACCATCTCCATGTTTTCCTGAAACTTTTATGCTAACACACAGGGAAAGAATAGACTACAGAACCTTCCCCCTGCCCAATACTATGATCCAATGAAACTTTTACCCTATTTGTAGCTTTGCATAAAACCCAATTTGTTCTAGCAAATTTCACTTTCTTTTATAGCGTTTTGCAAGATAAACACACACACAGAGGGAAATCCATCTTGGAACATTTCACTTCTGATCTACAATACCACTGAAAGTGAGCACATGTGGAATAATTTATGTACTTGCCTGTCAAGTATCTCATAGTCACTATCAGATTTGTACAGTGCTATCAGCCTGGATTCCATCAAAATGTAAATCTTCCCTGTGGCATTATCTAGAATATAAAATAAAACAAAGAGTTACATGAATTTCAGTTTAATCCTCTCATTTGCACCATTACAAAACCTTTCAATGCATGCAAGATGGTATCACTGAGCTATAAAAATGCCCGATGTAATCCTGCTGATCAGCCACTGCTTTCCAGCTCCTCCTTCCCCACACAGCCAGTTAAGGAACACTTCCTAGAAGCTAAGTTTAAACAGAAACCACAGGATGAAACTCAGCCCACTGACTGTCAGTGTGTTTTGCTGTTGCAGAGGCAGAAACACCCTATCTCATCTATTATCGTGTGAAAGAAAAACAAGTGAAAAGTTCCAGCGTGTGCAACTCAAACAGAGGGAAACAATTCAAAGGGGGACAATTACTACACCAGGTCAAAAGTGGACACAGGGGGCAACGATTGCACTTTCTGAGATTTGGTATTGCAATCAATTATAGGCTTGGATTTCTTTATAAAGGAAGTAAAGACCAAAAAAGGAAGTAAATACCAAAAAAACCCAGTGAAATGTTAGGAAGGAAATTCATTTTCTACCCCAAACAACCCTGATTTCTTCACTTCAGTCACAACTTTTATTCAATGCTACCCTATCAACTTAGGGGTCAGTGGGCCACAGCAAACTGCAGGCCAAAGACACCCAAACTCAACAACTCAGTGCCTCAGGCAGGTGGAGGTGTTATTTCTCAAAGTACTCAGTATTTCTTTTCAAGATGACCAAAATGTATGTTAAGCCCTTTGAAATCTGAAATGTAGTTAGTTCTCTCTTAAAAGAAAGAAAACCTTAACACAGAGTTCGCTGTCAAGGCCTGCACAACTTGCCATGTCTAACATCATCATAGGCACACATTATGCTGGAACAGGAAATTCCTACTCGCTATTTTATTTAAATCTTTTTAAAAAGGGGGAGAGGAGTTGTAGATGAAGGGATAATTAAAGACAACTGCATTTCAAGGATAAAATCAATTCTTTCCCAAGTGGAAAGGAAGACACATCATAACATACTCCATTGCCAACTGAAAACAGAACTGCAAACCCTGGAAAACTACACGAAGCAGTAACAACAAAAGCAACACCCGCTATGGTTCGGGCACCCTACAGGGTCTCTGGCACACAACGCCTGAGGTGCTGGGTGCTCTCATGAAAGACATCACCTTACAGGACAGTTTGTTCAGTCAGTCACAGCCAAGTGGTCCATGAATGAGCCAAGGCACTCAGTCAAATGGACTCTTCCATTGGAAACCACAGAACACACATCGCCTTACATTTGTGCTAAAAAAAGGCACTGCAGTCAGGCTGAGACTAGAATATGACATCTTGGGTCTGTTATGGGTTAGGAGTATAGAGACATCCAGTTAGTGCAACTCAGCTGTCATACAGCAGAACTTGTTCCTGAGTCTGAGCCCCAAGAAAGGAATAAAAAGAAAACTGGAGACACCTAGCCACACTTCCCTGTCTCTCAAGTGTAGTGTGACTTTAAGACAGGTAAATATTTGCTCCTGTTCTTTATTTCACCTATCAATATTTTTTTAGAGAACAGACCTCACAATGCACGTAAAATAACAAGAGCACAGAAGCCACATAGGAAACAAATCTCATACTGACCCAACCCTAGCAAAGTGCTATAAATTTAGCATAAAACAGTCTACAATACAAAATGATAGTATATATTCACAGGCATTGAAGGAAGAAGTGTTCATTCTATGTCACCTTCAGCCAACACTTGCCTCTCAGTTTTACATACTGCAATTCTGGGTTAACACAAAGGGCCAAATTGCTAGGCAAGGTCCAAGGAGTAGTGGTCCAAGCAACAAGGGAAACACTTGCATCTTCTTCCAGTGGGAAGCTCACAGTCACTGACGGATCTTGAACATCCTGAAAAACAAGACAAAGCCAAAGGGTAAAAAAGAGCGGAGGACAAGCAAGGTTTACTGCCTGTATTAGTGAGAAAATACAGATCTAAGATGCAGTAACTGTTACTGCCATTCACTCAAACCTATCTTCCAACTGGCCTAGGTCATCACTGCAGTGGTAGAAGGTGAAGTGGGAGTGTAAGGAAGTTATAAGAGAGCACCAGTCACAGTGTTCCTCTGTTACTGTCAGTCCAACAAGGCCACAGGGTTAAAAAGTCAGATTAGCAGTGAGATTTTGGGAATTGGCTGCCAAAACTCCAAAGATTTCAGTGCCAGTTCCCTCAGGTATATCTTATAATCCCATTTTATAAGATTATAATCAACCTCAATTGTCAATAAAAATATGCAGTTTCTTGGCCTTTTCCACATTTTCTCTCCAGTCAGGGATAGGAAGATGCATCTCTTA